AGAATTGGTCCATAAAGTGTTAACACATTTATTGTATGCCAAGTAATGAGATTTTATTTATTTATTATTGATGGATTGATTGTGGTTTTACTTTTAGTTTTAGTTAATAATGATAACCCTGCCCTTGGTCTGAACAAACAGAACCAAATTCATTATCATCAAAATGGAAAGATGGGATTTGGAAAGCATATCAGAATGTTGTGTACAGCATATTGTGAAGCTGATTTTGCAGTAGAGACAGATGAAGAACGCTAGTGTTCAGCTAACAGAGACTCATGGGATTTCTTTCCCAAGAGCAGGCAGAAAAGACTGTGTGAAGAAACAGGGAGACAGACAGACAGGGTTTGCGCAGTCTGTTGGGATCTCTGGAGCAGTAAAACATGGTGATGTGTGGCAGCTGTTGATGTTGAGAAGGGCAGCGTTGTCTCTTTCTCTGGTTCATCTGTTTCATGACCAATTTCTTCCCCTGTTGCGTTTCCTGTAGCTGCAGCATTCCGGTGTCTGTTGCCATCAGCTGTCCTCTCCTTTCTGTCTCTGACGCTCTTGTCTTCGTATCGCCGAGGCTTTGAAAGTTTCTGTGCCACTGTGACTTTGCGTTGCTGTAAGTGAGCCGTCTGAGGCCGCTGTAATGATAGCCTATCCAGAGCCATCTGTCTTACATCTGCCAGCGCCGGCCCTTTGAGAGCCACGATGAATCAACACAATGATGGCAGAGTTTTGGGCTGCTGAGGAAACAAACAGGACATTTTTTGAACATTCACAACCAATGGTGGATCCTGATATAGGTGACGACGCAGATCAGAGGTTTAGCTCACTATTGCACTTGAATCGAAAGGGAGCTGTGATCTACAATAGCAACTTTTCTCATTAGAAGGTTAAAAAAAGCTGTATGCAAATGTTTATACAAAAATGTGTGTATCCTGTAGCTGTAAGAACTTTTTAAAGAAGTTTTTATTTTTAATTATCATTTTGCCTTCATTAGTCCATGGACCCTACAGAGGAGAAGCAGTTTAGAAGATAGATAGATAGATAGTTCAATAGATAGATAGATAGATAGATGATAGATAGATAGATAGATAGATAGATGATAGATAGATAGATCGATAGATAGATAGATAGATAGATAGTTCAATAGATAGATAGATAGATAGATGATAGATAGATAGATAGATAGATAGATAGATAGACAGACGTGTTAATTTAAGTAAAATATTATGTCAATTAAATTGAACTTGACTGTAAAGCATAATTTCATATGTTCATATTATGTGTGTATATTATATAATATAATTCAATATTTAATATATATTGAATATATGCTAACACTTTACAGTAAGTTTTTTTTTCTTTACAGTAATAGTTAAGTTTAACTATATTTAAGGGACATTGAAAAACATTTGTTGTTGGACTAATGTTAAGTAATTTAATAATTTGATAATATATTGTTACCAGAAATTATATATATATA